CTTTTTCTTTTTTTTGTGTTGTTTTTTTTTTGTTTTTTTTTTTTTCTTTTTTTTTTTTTTTTGGTTTTTTTTTTTTCCTTTTTTTTTTTCGACATCGCAACTTCCAAAAGTGGTCCGGAGCTGAGGTGTTTTGTACATTTTGACTTGCAAATGTGCTTCGCGCCACAACGGCGTGCACTTTTTCGACATCTCAACTTCCAAAAGTGGTCCGAGAATGGTGTGTTTTGTACATTTTGACTTGGAAATGTGCTTCGCGCCACAACGGCGTGCAATTTTTCATCTCTCATCTGGCCAGCTGGCTCCGCACCCGCCGCTTAGCGAGCCTACTTTTCGACCCTCCGGAGCCCCAAATCATTGGAAAAACACAGTGTTTCGCGACTTTCCTACCTTTTCTCGCATCTGCATCTTCTTTCTTCTTACTCTTTCTCTTCTAGTCTTCTTTCTTCTAATCTTTCTCTTCTCTCTGCCTCTTCCCTTCTCTGCTTTTCATCTGTCCATATTGTCGGAAGTTTGACTTCTAAACTTCCTTCGACAACTACAACTACAACTACAACTATACATTGCATAACGCTACCACTACAACTACCACTACCACTACAACTACAACTACAACTACACTACACTATTTGCACTACACTACACTACATGAATTTAATTGCATTAATGTTGTCTAGCCAATAGTGATATCTTGTCAATAGTAGAAACATTTTTCCGCAACTCCAATTTTTCTCCAATACTAAAAGTCAATTAGCTCCATTTACTTTTAGTATTGCCAAAAGAGTCATGTTCAGACCTTGTCCAGAGGGCATGGCCAATAGTGGACCCAACATGGCAATAGTGGAAACTTCTTTCCCAACTCCAATTTTTTCTCCAATACTAAAAGTCAATTAGCTCCATTTACTTTTAGTATTGCCAAAAGAGTCAAGTAAAGCAAATCCTTTTCAAAGCAGCCTTCACTTTTGATTGGCAAGAGCTTCGATTCCAGAAATCTGATCCAATTACCAAACAGCTGATTTCCTTATAAAGCCCTTATTAAAAAGAGCAAGAAAAACAGGTCCACAAAGGGTACCCCCTTTGCAAGCCCTAGAATAGCAATAACAAACCTGCACCAGGCATGGCAATAGTGGAAACTTTTTCCGCAACTCCAATTTTGTTGTCCTCCTTCTCCTTCTCCTTCTTCTCCTTCTTCTCCTCCTCCTCGTCCTCCTCCTTCGCCTCCACCACCTCTGCCCCCACAGCCATAGGATTCCAAACATTTATTCTTGGAATGCTGACCCCCCCTAATTTTTTTAAAATAATTATTTTATTTAGGGGGGGATTTACTATTAGGCAGCCTACATTACACTACGCTACAGTACACTACATCACACTACACTACCCTACCCCACATTGCATTACATTACATTAATTACATTACACCTTACGCTCATTACACCACGACAAATGCAACTGCAACTCCACTACACTAAGTACACTACACATCATTACACCACAACTACAACTCCACTACACTACAGCTACACATACAGCTGCACTACACCACACTACAGCAGTTGTGGGTGAGGTGGCCGACCAGGTGACCATTGCAACCATTCACTGCAGCCACTCCAAAAAACACAGCTCCAACCACCTTTCGGTCCATCAGCGGCTTCGCTCTGCCATCCGTGATTCACAACACCCAACCTCTCCTATAGGTTTCCTATTTTTGATACTTCCGCCACCGCCTTGTGCGGTACTACTGGTATGTCATATAGACACCTTTTGGCCTGTCCTGCTACCGTAAGCACTTGCACTTTCCTAGGACTACCGAGCCTACAAAATCATGGCCAACAATGGTGCTCAGTTGGAGGGCCGGGGGCGATTATAAGTACATAGCAAGGTTAGAGAACTTCTATAACCTACTTGCCAAGTGCTGTAACCTACCTTATATGTGATGCTAAGTTACCTTATAGGTGGTGCTAAGCGGGTTGCTGTCTCTAAGTCACTTATGTAAGTAGTTACAGTTTTTGGCTAACTATTCATTCTGTTCCACAAATGATTGCGCAACTTATGGCACTTGGCGAACCACTTAGCGTATGCGGGCTAAGTGAGATAGGCGGCTTAAGCCCTAAGTGGCCTAAGGGCTTGAAGATTCCTGTTAGGGCCTCAAACCTCCTTTATTGAATGCTGTCTTCCTACATGCATACATACATACATACATACATATACACACATGCGCATGCATATATACAAAAATAAAGTCATACATACATAGATAGGTATATACATACATACTTTCAAACAAACAGGCATACATACAAACAGACATACATGCATTCAGACATACATATACATACACACATACATACATAGATGCATCCATCCATGAATACATACCAATATATTTACATCTCTACACACACACATGCATGCATACGCATTTACATACATATCCGCACAGGTATGTTCGGATACATACATAAATAAGAAGGTACCCGCATACATACATACATACCTACATACATACATACCTACATACATACATACATACATACACGCACATACATACATACATACATACATACACGCACATACATACATATATACATACATACATACATACACGCACATACATACATATATACATACATACATACATACATACATGCACACGTACATACATAAATAAATACATACATACAAACATTCATACAAACGTACATACATACATACATAGATACATACATACATACATGCACACGTACATACATAAATAAATACATACATACAAACATTCATACAAACGTACATACATACATACATACATACATGCACACGTACATACATATATACATACCTACATATACAGATGCATTTCAAGCTCAAGAAAGGCCTTGTCATCGAGGAGTTAACATGGGAGGAAGGCCCAAGTTAGCAATGGTTTGAAGCTGTTCAGTTGATCCACCTTTAACCGTCACCCTCAATCTTTTTTAACCATAAACCCTTTCACCCTAAAACAGAAACTCAACATCATACCCCCTACCCACCACAAGGCAGCGGCACCAGCACCAGCCACCACAGGCAAGACAAACAACAGGAAGAAAGAAAGAAAAAGGACAAAGCAACAAAGGCATCATTAGGACCTGTTGTCCCCCTGGCTGTGGCCTATCTGGCCGTTATTGCTCTGCCTTGGTCTGGCCCCCTTTGCGGGTTCAACCCCCCTGGGCCAAAGGCAGGGCAAGTAACAGACCACTAGGCTACCAGAACCCTGGTCCTTAAAGGTGTGGCCTGGAGCCTTGTGATGGCTAGCTGGCACACTGAAGTTGAAGCTGTCATGTTAGAACTGTTGAGTTGAAGCCTGAAGTTGGGAAGTTGCTAGGATTGGAACTGTTTAGTCGTTTCACTTGAAGTTAGAATGTCCACTTCGCAGCGCCTTTCAAGACAAAGCCCCAGCCCCGAAATCACACCGCAACAGCCTGGGCACATGGCACACGGTGCTGATGGAGACTGCTTCGGAGCAGTGAGGGGCCTGCTGGTGGTGAAGACGGCGGCCGGCACAGCACACACTGTCGGATGTGCCTGTGTGCTGCGAGCTCAAGTCTGCGAGATACATCTGTGCCGCGCCTGTGTGCGAAACCCCCCGGACCCAGACCACCTACTGGTCCTGACCCCAGAAGACGGCAGCAAGGTAGCGCACCGCGACCTAGGCTGCCGGTGGATGGGCAACGGGGGGTTGGAGAGCATCAAGGTGTGCAGACGCTGCTGGGGTGGCCTGCCTGAGGAGAGCCGACGAAGAATAGAGGCCATCCAAAGAGATGGGGCCGGCGCTTGAGTCACTTGGCAGGAAAAAAGAGCAGAGCGATCGCAAGGGCCGGGGTCAAACGAAGTCAAACATGGAGTGGTCTGGGACTGCAAGTGTGTTTTTTCAGTATGGCATGAAGCAGCAGGACACGATTCCGATGATTTGATGTTTGCGTTACTGATCCTTCTTTTGTTGTCGACCCGGCTGCAATGCGACAACAAGACCTTTGGTGATGATTTTGACGACTAGATCCCGTTCAATTTGGTGGAAACACAAAATCCTGACTGGGGTTTTGGTGGAAGCACAAAATTCCGTTGCAAGCTTTCGTGGCAACACAAAAATCCAAATCGCGTTTTGCGGAAACACAAAAGCGCTCGCGGACTTAGGTAAGTGCTGTAAGCCATTCGCGTAAGTGCGCTAAGTCCTGTCCCAGTAAGTCCACTAAGTGACATACTGTAAGCGCTGTATCCAAATAGTAAGTGCCGCATGTACCTAGTATGTCCCCTATGTGCTCATAACCGCCCTCGAGCCTCCAAGGTACTAGTCTATATGATTAGTTTCAGAAGCCTGATGATTTTGTATGGTTGGTCTGTTTGGTTTCTGCGTGCGAGCATTCCTGCAGCCGTTGCTCTATAGCTTGCCCACCCCTTCTCTCCTCCGTTGCCTATATACCGATTGCCACGATTACATCCTACACTGCTCAATCTTTGACAAGTGATTGTGAGATAGGGATGCTGAGCCAGAATCCAGTTTTTGCCATTTTTTGCCGCCGCATGCAGCAAAGCCATGCAAAGCCCGCATACCAACCCCGGCACCTGATCACGTCCACCGCCGACAGAGTGCGCAATGCCATCATGCCTTTGTCTTCACGGAGCCGCTGGCCACTGGCAAGGATAGCAACAGCTACAGTATAGATTTTTTGACCTAGATGATGTGTGCATTGTTTGCGGCACAGAAAAGATGCATCATTTAAATGATTTTAAAATATATAAATAAAATATGTTAGATCCTGGTTTGCACATCTGTGCCATCTACATCAGTCTGCAATCCGATACAAATTTGGAGTTCATTTCATAATATATTGATACACAGATATATATATATATTATTATTATATTGTATATATCGACATGTCCTCAGGGGCTGCGACAAGTGAGAGACTGAACAGATTGAACTAGGATGAACTAGCTGAGACTGAGATAGGCTGAGATTAGCTGAGGCCTGACATCATGTCTTTAGAAATTCCTTGGTGCCGAACTTGAGAGCTGGAAGATTTACTGTCCTTACTTGCCATGCATACTTTGGAGTAGTACAATTAGTACAAGTTGTATCAATTAGTACGGTTACATGGTGTTCCAAGGTTGGAATCTTGGAGAGCACCTCGGCAAATCAAGGCTCCTTCCTCAGTATTTTCTAACGTTTCGTTCGAAATATGTTTTTAACCATTTTATTCATATATATCTTTAATGCTGGATCCTGATTAGTGTAGGGCCCCCCGCCAAAAAAACAACAACAACAACAACTTTTGGATCCACTTTAGTGTGGAATTTTTTAAGTACCGGGGTCTGAATAGTGTGTAATCTGTTGATTTCAATTAATTTTCAATTGATTTCAATTTACTTTCAACTGACTTTCAAATGATTTCAATTGATTTCACTTGACTTTCTAGTGACTTTCAATTGATTTTCAATTGATTTCAATTGATTTTCAATTTACTTTCAATTGACTTTCAATTGGTTTCAATTTACTTTCAGTTGATTTCAACTTACTTTCAATTGATTTCAACTTACTTTCAATTGATTTCAATTGGTTTTCAATTTACTTTCAATTGATTTTAGTTCATTTTCAATTTACTTTCAATTGATTTTAGTTGCTTTTCAATTTACTTTCAATTGATTTTAGTTGATTTTCAATTGATTTTCAATTGATTTCAAGTTACGTTCAATTGATTTTCAATTGATGCCAACTTACTTTCAATTTAGTTTCAATTGATTTCAGTTTAGTTTTATTTTATTTTCAAGTGATTTCAATTTACTTTCAATTGACATCCCACGGTAATCGTTTAGAAATATCATGGAAATCCCATAGGAATCCAATGGAAATCCTGTAAGAATACCATAGAATTCCCATGGCATCCCTTCAGAAATCCCATAGGAACCCTCCAGAAAAATCATAGAAACATCAGGGAAATTCCATAAGAATCCCACAGAAATCCAATAGTCATACCATAGAAATGTCATAGAACTCCAATAGAAATTTCATGGAAACCCCACAGAAATCCCTTGGCTGGCTGAAGTTCACCCTTTGGAAAAACTTTTTGATTTTGATTCCAAGAAGAATGGAGCTAAGTAAAAGAAAAAACTTTAGCAAAGAAAAGGGAGGACCCCCAAAACAAACATACTATTGAGGATCAGGGTTGCTCATGGACTACCCCCTTGAAAAATTATTTGAGTGCTGTTCTTTAATTGGGTTTTAATAAGGCGTCCTATATTTGTGGAAATTAGACATTTTGAGAATTCCAAAAGAATGGAGCTAAGAAAGTAAAAAAAGAGAAACGTATTAGCAAAGGAAAGGAAAAGGAAAGGAGAGAATGATTTTGAAAATTTTCACCTCAGACAACAGCTGGACACAATAGTGGGCCCCAAACCAAACATACTATTGAGGATCAGGGTTTCTCATGGACTACCCCCTTGAAAAATTGTTTGGGTGCTGTTTTCAATTGGGTTTGAATAAGGCATCCTATATTTTGGGAAATTAGACATTCCTGAGAATTTCAAAAGAATGGAACTAAGAAAGTAAAAAAAACTTTTGCAAAGGAAAAGGATAAAAGGACTGTTTGATTTTGTCACCCCAGGCAGCAGCTGGACACAAAAATGAACCACCACAACAAACATACTATTGAGAATCAGGGTTGCTCATGGACTACCCCCTTGAAAAATTGTTTGGGTGCTGTTTTTGGATTGGGGTTTGATAAGGCATCCCATTTAATTATATAATTAATTATTGCTGATGGGTTATAATTAACCCTATGAAATTGTTTCTTCAGACAACAGCTGGGCACAATAGAGGGCCCCCACAACAAACATTTTATTTAGGATCAATACTGCTCATGAAAAAATTGAAAAAATGAATCTAAGAAATATATTTAAAAATAAGAAAAAGGGAAACATATATTAAACAAAAATGAACAAATGAAATAAACAATGAAACAATAAACAGCAAAATCCCCAAAACAAATAAAAAAACTGGAAAATACGAAAGAAAAAATTACACAATAGCGACCCACCCAATCATTTCCACAGATCCTGAATGATTCTTGGAAAACTTTACACAAAAGCGCCCCCCCCCCACACTAATCAGGATCCCACATTATACATATATGTATATGTATATATCGTTCAGAACGTGCCCAGACAGCGCAACATGGTGCAACCCTATATGACCTGTATGGCATTTACGTTTGCAACATCTAGAGCTATGTGGAACTCACCAAGGACCCGTTTCAGTACAGCGATGCCTTTGAGGCCAACTTTGTTGAGGCTTGGTTTGTTATTTATCCTTGCTAGGTTGCTTTGAAAACAATGAAATGACGGCAGAACTCAATCACATAAAAAATGCACAAATCATGTCAAGATGGTATGACCTCTTTGGAACTGAAATCTACGAAATTAGCACAGTACACCCATGTACAAGGATGCACCACCCCCGGGGCAATCTTGCATGCTGATGCTGCAGCTTTCAAACCACTGTCCAAACAATTGGGTAAAGGGCATGGCAGCATTCATGCATGCACATTCTGATTTCTTGCCAGCTCCATAACCCAACAACACCATCAACAGCTCAGGCAACATACCTAGTATGGTAAACACAGCCATAAAGTGTAGACGGGTACAGCTACGACAATATCAGCCATATCACGCGTAATTAATTATGAAGGGCCCGCAAGGATCCACATGCCAGTCTACTGGAAGTTTTGTTTATTCTTTTTTATTATTAATGAATTGATTCCATGACTGAAAATGGTCTGTAAAGTATCAGAGTGAACATGAACACGTGTATTCACCTGTTTGAAACCCCTCAGGGCCCACTCTGGATTTAAGAAATGAACATAAATGAACTTGGGCATCATACTGCATTTTCACCGGAGTACCAGAATCATAAGTTGAGGCCACGTTGCAATAATACTTCAGTTGTGATTCCATTCTTTTGGAGCATCCCTGAATTACCGGTAGCCTTGAACCAGAGTCTGTGCAACTCTTCCCCTTCAGTTCAGGGTGTCAAAGATGTCATAAAGAAGTTGAACCCCTGTGCATGTTGTTGTTTGTAAGTACGGCGGCATCACTATCTCGCGATGCTCAAGATTCATCACTTTGTCATGGTAGTTTCCGGAAGGGATCAACTTTTAAGCGGGGAAAGATCAGTGCGCTGGTCTGAGCATCCGGCCCAGGCTGGTACAGCTTTGGGACCTTTGCTAGGCCTTCCACTGCCGCCTCACTCTTTGGCCGCTAACCTCTCCAAATAGACCAAGGGACGCGCAAGCAAACTTGTTATTTCCGGCACCAAGGATCGAATTGAATGCTTTTTCATGAGCATTTTGGTTTTGAAGATGTCTTCCGGCATCCTTTGAAGTGTTTCGGGCGCACATGGGCCAGGTTCAGACCTAGGTGGACAGCGGTTGTTTTTCATGCCGGCAAGGGACTGAGGAAATCTCTATGCTAGTGACTGCTAGGGTCGCTGATATTGCAAAATGGGATTCACAATGCTTCGTGCGCATTGGATGAAAAGACATTGGCAGACAAAATTGATTTTGACAAAGTTCCACAAGCAACGACCAGGCGGGTGGTCACGAAAGGGATTTGCCTAGTGACACCGATGATGACGAACAGCCAGAGTTCAACATCCCAGCACCAGGTGGGGACGGGTTGTGGAAGCAGGTTTACCCCGTTGCAGGTATGTGAAAGCGATTTGTAGTTTGACTTGCACTTGCGTGCTAGCGGATATTGTTGAAATGCGTTGTAGTTTGCTGGCTTGGTGATCGAAGGAAGTTTAGAAGTCAAATTTCCGACAGTATGGAAAAAGCAGAGGTGCGACGAGTCAGAGAAGAGAAAGGAAGAAGAAAGAAGATCAGAGAAGAGAAAGAGCCAGAAGAAAGAAGATCAAGGTGCGTGAAAAGGTAGAAAAGTCACGAAATACTGTTATTTTTCAATGTTTTGTGGCTCCGGAGGGTCGAAAAGTAGGCTTGCTAAAGCGTGAGAGATCAAAAACTTGCACGCCGCCACATTTTAAAGTCAAAACGGGCAAAACACACCACCTTCGGATCACTTCTGGAAGTTGAGACGTTGAAAAGGCGAATGCCATTGTGGCGCGAAGAACAGTTTCAAGTCAAAGCGGTAAAAACATACCAGCCTCGGAGCATTTTTGGAAGTTTAGATGTTGAAAAAGTGCACGCCGTTGTGGCGCGAAGCACGGTGTCAAGTCAAAATGGAAAAAGCACACCACCTTCGCACCACTTATTTTCGTGGCAGGCTACAACTACAACTACCACTAGATTACACTGCACCGCACTATACGACACCTACAGCTGCAGCTACAGAGTACAACTACAACTACACCACGCGACTACGCCACACAAATACAACTACAATAACAACAGGACAGCACGACAAGACTACAACACTGGGACACTACGACGCTACGCACTTCAACACTACAACTTAACAACACTACAACATCACAAATACAACACCACAACATTACAACTACATAACACTACAACTACACTACAACAAGTACATTACACTACACCCCACTACGCCACACCTACAACTGCAACTACAACTACATTACGCTACACCAGACTATGACTAAAACTACACTAGACTACACTACACTACATAATACCTACAACTGCACCTACACCTGCAACTACAACTACAACCACACCACACTACACCTGACTACAGCTAAACTCCACCGCACTACGCTACACCACAACTACAACTACCACTACCCCTACAACTACCACAACTACTACAACTACAACGCTACAACGTTACAACGTTATAACACTACAACACTACGACATCACAACGACAACACTAGGACACCGCGACGCTACAACACTACAACTACATAACACTACAACTACATTACTACAACAAGTACATTACATTACACCACACTACACCACACCACACCACACCTACAACTACACCTGCAACTACAGCTATAACTACAACTACATTGCACTACGCCTGTAGTAGGTAAGGCAAGCAACAACTTTGCAGCAAGCAAGCAAGCCAGGAACGCAGCAAGCAAGCAATTGAGGAAGCAAGCAAAGAAGTAAGCAAGCGAGCCAGCCAGCCAACCAGCAAGCAAGCAAGCCAGCCACCGTAAGTAAAGTTTTAAGCTAATCTTAGATAAGCCTTCGAGCCAACCCTTCGGAAAAACTATAAACCAACTTTCAATAAAACAAAGCAACCCTGAACCAACCCTAAATAAAGTTCTAAACCAACTGCAACCCAAATCCAACCTTACTTATCCAAACCCTAAACGAATTTTTATCTTTAAACTAATTGGCACTAAACAAGAAATAAAGTTTTAAACCAATCTTTGACCAACCCTAAAGAAAATTCAAAATAAAAACAACACCAAAGCTTAGGTCGTTTTTAAATCAACCAGAAATAAATGTTGAACCAACTTTAAAGAAAAACTTTCATAACCTGCAATAGAAAGATAAACTGACGGCAAGAGAGCAAGAGGGCAAGAGAGCAAGAGGGCAAGAGAGAATGTGAAGATGAGAAGATGTGAAGATGTGAAGATGTGAGGCTGTGATGGTGAGAAGATGCGAAGATGTGAGGATGTGAGGATGAGAAGATGTGAAGATGTGAGTATGTGAAGATGAGAAGATGTGAAGATGAGAAGATGTGAAGGTGTGAGGATGTGAAGATGAGCAGATGTAAGATGAGCAGATGTGAAGATGAGAAGATGTGAAGATGTGAGTATGTGAGGATGAGAAGATGTGAAGATGTGAAAATGTTTGACAGACCCCCACTATTATATAGTAGGAGGCCCCTAGCAGATAGAATTATCATCTTGGGTGTTTGCCTCGCAAATATCTGCGAATTCTAAGTGCTAGAAAAAAAGGGGCGTAGAATTGTTTTATACGTATTTCTAACAGATAGAATTCTTTTACACATCATAGAATTGTTTTGCTATATGTATATGTGTTGTATATGTTCATGTGTGATATGTTGATTACAGTATATATTAATATAATTATATTTACATAAATATCTATCACTGCCACCATTTTCTAAGGGAAACGAATTTTCACAGTGTGTCGAATATTGTTTTGAAAAAACGAGCAGATCCATCCAAACATCCATATATATATATATACCACAGTATTGATGCTGCAGCTTGTGGGGCGTAAGGGATCGCAGCCTTGCATGAATGGCATGTCGATCCTTAACGACAGGGTAAGAAAAAATGTGCTCATATTTTCTTTAATGGTTGTAAAGCCTCCACATGAAATTGCATCAGCAGCCCTTCAGCAGAAACCGCAGCAGAAGGAAGAGCAGAAGGAAGCAACAGCAGACGCAACAGCAGATGCTACAGCAGATGCTGCTTATGCACCAGAACCCGAACCAAAACCCAATGCAGGAACCGGCACCAACTGCAATTTCAATGCACAGGAACAAGACAAGCAGCACATAGAATTGCAGAAGCAGCATCCAGAACTGGCAGAGCAGGCACCTCCACATGAAATTGCATCAGCAGCCCTTCGACAGAAACAGCAGCAGAAACAGCAGCAGAAGGAACAGCAGACGGAACAGCAGACGCAACAGCAGATGCTGCTCATTCTCCAGAGCCCGAACGAAACCCAAAGCAGGAACCGGCACCAACTGCAATTTCAATGCGCAGGAACAAGACAAGCAGCACATAGAATTGCAGAAACCGCATCCAGACCTGCCAGAGCAAGCACATGCACATGAAATTGCATCAGCAGCCCTTCAACAGAAAAACCAACAGAAGGAACAGCAGATGCTGCTCATGCCCCAGAGCCCGCACCGAACCCAAAGCAGGAACTTGCACCAACTGCAGTTTATATGCACAGGAACAAGGCAAGCAGCACATAGAATTGCAGAAGCAGCATCTAAACCTGCCAGGGCAGGCACCTCCACATGAAATTGCATCAGCAGCCCTTCAACAGAAACAGCAGCAGAAACAGCAGCAGACGGAACAGCAGATGCTGCTCATGCTCCAGAGCCCGAACCAAACCAAAAGCAGGAACCGGCAGCAATTGCAATTCGAATGCGCAGGAACAAGACAAGCAGCAAACAAAAATGCAGAAACAGCATCCAGAACTGGCAGAGCAGGCGCCTCCACATGAAATTACGTCAGCAGCCCTCCAGCAGAAACAGCACAGCAGAAGCAAAGCAAGACGCAACAGCAGATGCTGCTCACACCCCACGGCCCGAACGAAACCCAAAGCAGGAACCGGCACATACCGGCACCAACTGCAACTTAAATGCGCAGGAGCAAGACAAGCAGCACATCGAATTACAGAAGCAGCATCCACAAATGGCAGAGCAAGCACTTCCACATGAAATTGCATCAGCAGCCCTTAACAGAAAAAGCAGCAGAAAGAACAGCAGACGCAACAGCAGATGCTGCTCATGCACCAGAAACCGGCACCAAAACCCAACGCAGGAACCGGCACCAACTGCAACTTCAATGCGCAGGAACAAGACAAGCAGCACATAGAAATGCAGAAGCAGCATCCAGAACTGGCAGAGCAGGCACCTCCACATGAAATTGCATCAGCAGCCCTTCAACAGAAACAGCAGCAGAAACAGCAGCAGACGGAACAGCAGATGCTGCTCATGCTCCAGAGCCCGAACCAAACCAAAAGCCGGAACCGGCAGCAATTGCAATTTAAATGCGCAGGAACAAGACAAGCAGCAAACAAAAATGCAGAAACAGCATCCAGAACTGGTAGAGCAGGCGCCTCCACATGAAATTGCGTCAGCAGCCCTCCAGCAGAAACAGCAGCAGAAGCAAAACAAGACGCAACAACAGATGCTGCTCACAACACCCCACGGCCCGAACGAAACCCAAAGCAGGAACCGGCACATACCGGCACCAACTGCAGCTTAAATGCGCAGGAGCAAGACAAGCAGCACATAGAATTGCAGAAACAGCATCCACAAATGGCAGAGCAAGCACTTCCACATGAAATTGCATCAGCAGCCCTTAACAGAAAAAGCAGCAAAAAGAACAGCAGACGCAACAGCAGATGCTGCTCATGCACCAGAACCCGCACCAAAACCCAAAGCAGGAACCGGCACCAACTGCAATTTCAATGCGCAGGAACAAGACAAGCAGCACATAGAATTGCAGAAACAGCATCCAGACCTGCCAGAGCAGGCACCTCCACATGAATCTGCACCAGCAGTCCATCAACAGAAACACCGACAGGGGGAAGCACTGAGCCAGGGGGAACCAATATACAGTATGATACAGTATGTATAAATGGGGGGTACCCCAAAATGGGAGGTTTACAGCGCACAATTTTTCAAAAAATTGATGATTTGGGGTACCACCAGGAGTTGATACAATTCTTAGTGCTTGTTTATGATATGGCCTTCTAATTCTAAGTGCATTCTTTTGACATCACTGCCGGCAATTCTAAGTGCACTCCCCAGGTCTCACTGAGACACAATTCTAAGTTATTGTCGCAATGATTTACGAATTCTAACTGCTAGGGACCTACTATAAGAACCCTGCGCTCAGACGCTCTCGGGAATAAGCATTGCGCCAACATTAAATAAACCCGGAGAAAACTTTAAGCTAACATGAAGCCCGCTCAAACTAAACCCCAATTCAATTTTAACATATTTCAACTACAATTCCAAAGTCTTGGAACACAACCCTAAACCTAATTTAAACAAAACCTTACATCAAACCTAAACCAACCCTGAACATATCTTAAAAGATAAGAAACATCCCAAAATACCTTCACTCAAGCCGAAACAAATCCTACAGCAGCCCTAACGCCATGCTATTTGAACCAACCTTAAAACTAAGCGGACTCCCAACTAAACCGCAAACTAACCTTAAACAACATATTGCACCAACACTAAATTCACGCCAAACAAGGGCTACACAAACACCATGTATAAACCAACTTTAAACCGACCTGGAATAATTAACCCAACCCACGATACCAATACCTTTAACCAACCCCAAGCACATACCACAGCAGCCCCAACAACACTTCTAGCTGAACCAGCCCCAGATTGCTGCTAGCTCCAAAAATTTCCGATTCCGGCCAAAAACTAGACGACGGATGACCCGAGAGGGTAGAGGAGCAGGGTCTTCTCTTGTAAGTATGGAGACACCATATTACAAAACAATATTTTCAAGATGTGCTATAGGCAGACGAGCAGAGGAGTATCAAGACAATATAGCACAAGTACAAGACAATAGTTTGCATCGTATCTTTCAAACAGCTTTTCACACACAGAACTTTTTACAGAGAGACGCTTTTACACACAGATGCTTTTAGACACAGACACTTTTACATACGGAAGCTTTTGCGCAAAGACATTTTTACACACGGAAGCTTTTACACACAGACGCTTTTACACACATAGGCTTTTACACACAGACTCCTTTACACACAGACGCTTTACACGCAGACGCTTTTACACGCAGACACTTTTACACGCAAACACTTTTACATACAGACGCTTTTACACACAGAAGCTTTTACACAGACGCTTTTACACACAGAAGCTTTTACACACAGAAGCTTTTACACACAGAAGCTTTTACACACAGACGCTTTTACACACAGGCACTTTTACACACAGACACTTTTACACAGGCGCTTTTACACACAGACAGTTTTACACACAGACGCTTTTACACACAGAAGCTTTTACACAGACGCTTTTACACACAAAAGCTTTTACACACAGAAGCTTTTACACACAGAAGCTTTTACACACAGACGCTTTTACACACAGACGCCTTTACACACAGGCACTTTTACACACAGACACTTTTACACAGGCGCTTTTACACACAGACAGTTTTACACACAGACGCTTTTACACACAGAAGCTTTTACACGGACGCTTTTACACACAAAAGCTTTTACCCACAGAAGCTATCAGAAGCTTTTACACACAGAAGCTTTTACACACAGACGCTTTTACACACAGACGCTTTTACACACAGACGCTTTTACACACAGACGCTTTTACACACAGACACTTTTACACGCAGACCCTTTTACACACAGGAGCTTTCACACGCAGACACTTTTACACACAGATGCTTTTACACACAGAAGCTTTTACACACAGCACACAGAAGCTTTGTACACACCGAAGAAATCGCAATTTTACCCCAGTTTTTGACGATCGAACCTCATTTCGTGCGAAAGGGTTTCGCCGGACAACTTGACCTCGCAATTTTACCTCAGTTTTTGGCGATCGACCCTCATTTCGTGCGAAACGGTTGCGCCGAACGACTTGCAAATCGCATTTTTACAACAGTTTTTGACGATCGAACCTCATTTCGTGCGGAAGGGTTGCGCGGGACCCCTGGAAATCGCAATTTTTCTTCAGTTTTTAACGATCGAAATTCATTTCGTGCGAAAGGGTTGCGCCGGACGACTTGCAAATCGCAAGTTTACCTTAATTTTTGGCGATCGAACCTTATTTCGTGCGAAAGGGTTGCGCCGGACGACTTGCAAATCGCAATTTTACTTCAGTTTTTGGCGATCGAACCTCATTTCGTGCGAAAGGGTTGCGTTTCGTGCCGTCTCGTTGGCACTGCCCCGCGCCTTCAAGAGAGAAATAGAAAAGAAGGAGAGGGCAAGAGGGCAAGAGGGCAAGAGGGTAAGAGGAGAAGATGTGAGGATGAGAAGATGTGAAGATGAGAAGATGAGAAGATGTGAAAATGAGAAGATGAGCAGATGTGAAGATGAGAAGATGAGAAGATGTGAAGAAGATGTGAAGATGAGCAGATGAGGAGATCTGAGGATGAGAAGATGTGAGGATGTGAAGATGTGAGGATGTGAAGAATGAGCAGATGTGAAGATGAGAAGATGAGAGGATGTCAAGATGTGAAGAAGATGTGAAGATGAGCAGCTGTGAAGATGCGAGGATGTGAAGATGAGAGGATGTCAAGATGAGAGGATGTGAGGATGTGAAGATGAGAAGATATGAAGATGTGAGGATGTGAAGATGGGAAGATGTGAGGATGAGAAGATGTGAAGAGGAGAAGACGTTTTACAGACCCCCACTATTGGAAGAACCCGGCGCTCAGACGCTTTCGGGAAAAAAAATCTAGCTCCACAATGCTTGACTTGCCATCGGTTTCTTGCTCCAAAAATGTTTCAATTACCGTAGAAGTGGTTCCAAAATGTTGCGAAGCCGAACAAAATTAAAATAAACGTATATAAAGTGGTCTCCAGCACTTCTTGCAGACATTTTCACCATTCCTGTCACTGCTATTTCATGTGTTTGACATTGTTTGACCCTGTTCCCCAAATCACTTCTTGAATCCACCCACTGTTTGGGGTCTACGGTGGTGTAATTTTCTTTTTGACGATTGGTTCCTGCATGCCGACATTTGGAAACAGACACAAAGAAGTCCGGAGGAAGAAATTTGATTTCAGGGATAGGCCGGAAGTTAAATTGATGAAAACCTCGAGAAAAAAAAAATAATCCTCTGTCTCAACCAATCATGGACCTCCATTGATGTGTTTTTTTAAATGGGTTTTGTACAGTGAGTTGGATGCCAAAGCAGAAGGGCAATGTGCAGACAGCATTGAAGAAATTGTTTGTGCTTAATGGTGTTGCATGGTTTTGCCAAGAAGAGAATGTTTTGCCCAAAGCAACGCATTTAGCGCAGTCCCTGATCCCCTGTTCGGAGAAGAAAAAAAAACTAAAAAAATCCCGGTAATAGGCAGGCAGTGCCTGTCAATTTTATTTTTTTGTTTTTCCCCACCTGCCAGGTGAGGGTTGTTAGATTTTATCTAAGTTGCCTGGTCCTCCTCCTCCTGCCGCCTCCTCCTCCTCTCCTCCTCCTCTCGTTGTCCTCCTCGTCCTCCTGCTCAACTGCGACTCGCGATCCACAGTGTTCGCTGTCGGACCTCAACCACGACCATCCACGCCCAGTGTTCCCTGCCGGACCTCCACCACGACCATCCACGCCCAGTGTTCCCTGCCGGACCTCAACCACGACCATCCACGCCCAGTGATCCCTGCCGGACCTTAACCACGACCATTCACGCCCAGTGTTCCTTGCCGGACCTGAACCACGACCATCCACGCCCAGTGTTCCCTGCCGGACCTCAACCGCGAGGATCCATGCCAAGTGTTCCCTGCCGGACCTCAACCGCGAGTATCCACGCCAAGTGTTCCTTGCCGGACCTCATGTAGGAAGATATGGGACAAAGAATGTGCAGAAGAAAGTTAGAAAGAATGTCAGAAAGAATGTCAGAAGATATGCCAGAAGATATGCCAGAAGATATGCCAGATAGAATGCCAGATAATATGCCAGAAGATATGCCAGATAGAATGCCAGATAGAATGCCAGAAGATTTGCCAGATAGAATGCCAGAAAATATGCCAGAAGATATGCCAGATAGATATGTCAAAAGATATGCCAGAAGATATGCCAGAAGATATGCCAGAAGATATGTCAGAACATATGCCAGAAGATATGTCAGATAGAATGCCAGAAGATATGTCAGAATATATGCCAGAAGATATGCCAGATAGAATGCCAGAAGATATGTCAGATAGAATGCCAGAAGATATGCCAGATAGAATGCATCAGATTTGCCAGATAGAATGCCAGAAGATATGCCAGAAGATATGCCAGAGAGAATGCCAGATAGAATGCCAGAAGATTTGCCAGATAGAATGCCACAAGAAAATGCCAGAAGATATGCCAGATAGAATGCCAGAAGATATGTCAGATAGAATGCCAGAAGATTTGCCAGTAAGAAAATCTATAAATGTCATGGTGGGGATCACACGAAGTAAAGTAATTTCCATAATTCTGTCGGATGCTGCAGTGCTCAGTGCATGCATGCTGAAAACAGGAACGGTTCTTGGCTGCTCTGTTGGTTGTTCGGCCGGCAAGGCAATAGAAGATATTTGAAGCAATCTGCCACAATTTACACCAATACAATTCAATCAAATAATATCCAATACATCTCTATGCTCTTCAAAATTCGTTCTCTCAGCCCATTTTTTGTAGGGTTCGATTGTATGGGTGCCTGGGCAGGACCCGAAATGAAAGACAAAGCGATTTCGAGTTTGGACTGTGCCTCAACATGTTCCACCAATATACTGCGCATGTTCTAAGTTGCTTTTCAGCGGAGTTCTGGATGTTTCAGAACTAAGGAAGGGCCAGTCAGTTCAGAGATGTGGTACAAACGGAACGTTGCAGAGGAGATGCTCTGTGGAAGCTGTTCGCAAAGTGCATGAAAACGAACATTAGGGTATGTGCATATGTAAATTCAACATATTTTAATCCAAGATTGAAAGATGATCGTTTGATATGATGGGAGGTATATTTTTTTATTTTTTTGTATGGGCAACCTTCCCAACTATATAATCAACCAGGGTTGCTCCTTCATGCCTGGTTGACCCTATGTACAGATACACAGCACATATGTCATATGTGATATATGTGCACAATCGTGCACAAGAAATGTACATTTGCATGCGTTGGCTATGTATGGACGCAACAAAGTACACAATATTGAATATTGTGACAGAGTATGTAACATGTAGACAACTTTGTCGGCATCCTTGTTCATGTTCTGCAGTTGGTACCAAAAAATCTTAAATTCGTTGTCATTGCCGAGTCCCAGTCGTCACGCTGGCACATTTGAGTCAGGGCGAGAATTAAACGATCCTCCCGCGCTCTACACCATAGATTGCCACAGTATGCCATGTTTGTATGTATTGTATTGTACTTGTATTGTATTGTATTGTATTGGATTGTATTGGATTGAGATGATGGTACGCGTACATCCGGTGCTTCTGGGCAAATCAAAGCATGGATTGGATCATTATGGATCAGGCGCTTTGTCTGCACATGTAGCTAAAGAATTGTACAGATAGAGCTGATACGGCAATAGATACCCTAGATATACCGGAATCCTTGACCAGGATTTCAACCGCTAGCAAAGCCTGCGTCAGTGGCAAATTCACATAAATTTACAAGGTGTGTGTTGCTCGCTTGAAGCTGTTTCTAAAGTACGAACTTTGCAATCTGTCGGAAGCTGGGTTGCCTGCGTGCTGGACAATTGGGCCGCTTGAGCAGGACCAAAGGGAACACGGAATCCGACATGTAGTTGTTGGCTACAACATGGATATTACATTTTGGATGTTTTTGCTGACGCGCTATTTGCTCTCCCACAAAAACCATGCTTGGAGGGCTGCAACATTCCTTTGCACGTGCACATGTGCTTGCTGCTTGATGTTACGTTAGAGGTTGGGGGGATTGGGGCCGTCACTTGCATGTGAGTGCACGTGTATTGCATTATGTTATAGGTTGGGGGGGTTGGTGAGGTGGGGCAGCAACGTTCACCTGCACACGCACATGTATTGGACTACGTTAGAGGTTGTGGGGGGTTTGGGTGGGGCGGGGTGAAACAGCAATGTCCACTTGCACGTGCACATGCATTTGTTCATGCTAAGCCCTTGCCTTTTTCATGTAAATGTCCAACAGGCTCTTGAAGCGACGCTCTTGACATTCTTATGTAACTTCCAACACTCTCTTGATGCTACGCTCTTGGCTGTCTCAGTCTCATGTGACTGGGACCATGCTCTTGATGCTACGGTCTTGTTGGAAAAGCCTGGGATTCAGTTGTCGAAGCTGTGAAAAAAGCCATGGCGAGCCCGGCCCGCGTCGTTTTTGGGCATTTATTTATATATATAATATATAATATATAATATATAATATAATATATATAATATATAATATATATAATATAATATATATAATATATATTATATATATTATATATATAATATATATAATATATATAATATACATATATATAATATAATATATATATATATATACTTATTATATTAATATACATATATATATATAAATACAGGAACTCCTTTTAATTCCCTGCAAGGGTTGCAAACGTGACTACAGCAGGAACCTTTTCGACGCAAATGAAACATACCATATCCATCCATATCCAAGAATTACTGCAGCGCCACCGTGATTATGTTGAATCGCGCGTCGGTAAAGGCGCTGGGATGTTTTTGCAACAGGTTTCTTTGATGTTTTTAAACTTTAAACACACCTGGCCTCACATGTTGGCAACTTTATTGTCTTCATGATTTTGTGGCCACACCGTTCCACACGGATTACTACAAAAGAGGCTATTGACACATGAAAACGGAATTGCTGCAAACCGGAAAGGTCAAAAGTTTTGAGTCAAATATGATTGCTTGGCACCTGGAATCGCATTGCATACCATAGTCATTGATGTCATTGGAAATGGTCTGCCCAAACTTTCAACAGTTGCTTGATTGGGATGCTCAAGGTTGGCGCGCCAACCCAAAACTTGAGGGGTAAGTTGAGGATGTTAAGGTTAGTGGCAATGGGATTGAACACAGTTTTGTAGTTTGGCCTTAGCAAGGAGTGAGGGGAACCATGTTGAAATCAACATAAATCATCAATTTTCACAACTCCAGCGGGCAGAGCTTGAGATTGCAATGAGAAATATTTGGAATATTGTTCAAGTCTTTGTCAGGTAATAATGATGTGATAACATGCCCACCTAAGCCCACCTAAGCCCACCTAAGCCCACCTAAGCCCACCTAAGCCCACCTACATGACAATGGTGACCCCATGACTCAAGATGAGATTTAGAATATTTCGGAAGGAGCGCCTCCAAGAGCTTTGTGCCTCAAGCAGCCGCGCTGCCAGAATCTCGGAGCTTTATGGAGCTTCCACGTTCAGCGGTGTTCCATAGTTTGCAATGTTTGAGTATTCTTAGTGCACGTCGGTCAGCATCTGTCAACACCAGGTGTCTGGTTTCCATGTCGAAAGGATTGTGCCAGGACTACTTTGCAATTTCATTTCTTCATTTGGTTGGTTTTCATATGTGTGTTCACATGTTTTATATAATTGTTCATTTCTTCGAGCCCTTGGGTTGTTTGCTGTTCCTTCCCTCTCGTGGGTTTGCAGCGCTTTCCTTGGCCAGTCATGTTTTGAGACGCTACCAGCGCCGCTACCAGTGCCTGCCAGTCAAGTAGCCCTTGCAATGACTTGGCATCCACGGGATCCACCGTAGCAGTTACATGCAGTTGCGTGCCTTCAACGCCGAGGTCCGAGACCGACTCACTAACCTGAATTCCGAGATGACAGGTTACAAGCTTTACCTTGGCTAGCGAAAACGGACGAATGTTGTTGAGCCCCTGAAGGGCTGAGCTGTTTTCAAATGGCCCCTCGAAGATCCTCAAAGATTCTCAAAGTAGCTCAAAGCAACCAGCGCAAAATCCAAGGTGTTTCACCCGTCTCCTGGCAGAGCTTTGCTGCAAAACAGCAGCAGGTTTGCTGCTAGCGAAACATGGCAGAACTGACCAGTGCAACTGACGCAAGTCAGATGCTGTCAGCCTTTTCAAGATGCATGACTGCAGCTGCGGCCTGGGTCTAAAATTAACGACTGTTAACGGATGAGCTTCTGAAATTGCACCGCATCAATTTGCACCCACCCTCATGTGATAACATGATGTATGTAAACAAGAAGGATTAAAAGATTCCTCATGCATGGGCGGCGCATGGCAAACAGCAATGTTTCCGCCATGTTTTCAAGGCACAGGCAGATGCTCTGACAAGCGTTGAAACATGTTTGAAGGCCTTTCACCTCAACATATGCTAGCCAAACATCTCTGAAATAAAGCGCGGTTCAGCCAGCCAAGTGCTTTGCATATTTTCTTCGGATTCGCGGACTGCTACAGTGGCGTTCCGGCAGTTGCGCAGTCCTCAAAGTCTGATCTCCGACTACTTACTATACTGGGATGATTTGGGATGCAGAGAGCGAGTCAAGCTGGGCCTGTGCGTGCTTATGCTCGAGGTGACCGCATGGCACCACTCGCTTCTGTTCAGGGACAGGTGGGTCCGCTACAAGCCTTTGGCTTGCAAAATATCAGAAAATATCAGGGGCATGAAGTCTTGCTCGCCGCTAGCTATTCAGGTGAAGGCTCTTTTTGCGAAGGCACTGAAAGATGCATTCCCATCTCTTCAGCAAGATGTGGGAAGCCCAGTAGATCCCAGTGGCTAGATTTAGTGGCGAATTCATGCGAATTCCACGTATATTTAAATTGATATTTAAAGTTTTGAACGTAAGAGGGCAGCTACCCCCAAAGATATAAAAGTGTGCGTGGAAGTGATTTGCAAGATTTTGCAGAGTTCTGATCGCAAAAGGTGCTGGTGGCAAAAGTAGGCAACCCGAAGTATGGCGCTGGCTTCAGCAGTGTGAACCGTATGAGTGTTGAGTAATCGCATCCTCATAGCATTGAAAGATATGAAAATGCATTAGATATCCCTAAGAGACGTTAGTTTAGTATACTTTAGTCTTTTCAATTTTACGAAAGCCAGCCAATAGGCTAGGCAAAGTTGTTTTGGCGGGCGAACGAAGTGAGTATTAGGGGGTCTGGGGGGTGGACGTCGCGTGAGGGGCCGGAAGCTCGAAATTAGTTGCAGCGGAGGGCGTCCAAATTGAACTTTTTTGGGGGGCATGTACCGGTCCGTTGACTCCGGCAGGAAAAATGCAGGAAAAAACCAAGGAAAATGAAGGAAAATCGTTAAAAACAGAGGAAAATGGAGGTACAGCAGGAAAAAGGTAGGAAAAAACTACAGAAAATGACTCTACACTTTCCACTCCACACTCTACACTCTACACTTTACACTTGACACTCCAGACTCTACACTTTACACTCTGCACTTTATACTTTACACATCTTTACACTCTGCACTTTACACTCTACACTCTAGGCTCCACACTTTACACTTTACACTGTACACTCCCCCCACAACAGTTTACACTTTACACTGTCCACCCCCTACTGTAATGATCCTCAGCCTGCTGGTTCATCGTCTACTAGAAGCCCAAACCATCTGCAGCACCCTTGCTTTGCAACCCTTCGTCACCCCTTCACTTCTCATCCCCTTGCAAACTCTCTTGTTCCGAAACCCCAACGGACGCTGCTCTCCGTTGAGCTTCGGAGTTCCTCCATTTTCCTCCGTTTTCCCTGTGCTTTTAACGATTTTCCTTGTGGAGTGTGGAGCGTGGAGTGTAATGTGTGGAGTGACATACAATCTTTCACCCACCATGGAGTGAGGAGTGTACAGTGTAAAGTGTAAAATGTGGAGTGTAAAGTGTAGAGTGTAAAGTGTAGCGTGTGGAGTGTAAAGTGTGGAGTGTGGAGTGTAAAGTGTGCAGTGAGGAGTGAGGAGTGTGAAGTGTAAAGTGTAAAGTATGGAGTGTAGAGTGAAGAGTGTCGAGTGTAAAGTGTAGAATGTAAAGTGTAGAGTGTGGAGTGTAAAGTGTAGAGTGTAAAGTGTAGTGTGTAAAGTGTAGAGTGTGGAGTGTGGCGTGTAAAGTGTAAAGTGAAAAGTGTAGCGTGTGGAGTGTGGAGTGTAGACTGTAAAGTGTAGAGTGTAAAGTGTAGACTGTGGAGTGTGGAGCGTGAAGTGTAGAGTGTAGACTGTGAAGTGTAGTGTGTAAAGTGTAGAGTTTGGAGTGTGGAGCATAAAGTGTAGAGGGTGGAGTGTGGAGTGTAAAGTGTGGAGTATGGAGTGTACAGTGTAAAGTGTGGAGTGTAGAGTGTAAAGTCTAGAGTGTGGAGTGCAAAGTGTGTAGTGTGGAGTGTAAAGTGTGCAGTGAGGACGGAGGAGTGTAAAGTGTAAAGTGTAAAGTCTGGAGTGGAGAGTGAAGAGTCTAGAGTGTAAAGTGTAGTGTGTGGAGTGTAGAGTGTAAAGTGTAAAGTGTAAAATATGGAGTGTGGAGTGTAAAGTGTGCAGTGAGGAGTGTAAAGTGTAAAGTGTAAAGTATGGAGTGTAGAGTGAAGAGTGTAAAGTGTAGTGTGTCAAGTGTAAGGTGTGGAGTGTGGCGTGTAAAGTGTGCAGTGAGGAGTGAGGAGTGTAAAGTGTAGAGTGTGGAGTGTGGAGTGTAAAGTGTAAAGTGTAAAGTGCAGACTGTGTAAAGTGCAAAGTGTGGAGTGTAAAGTGTAGAGTGTAAAGTGTAGAGTGTGGAGTGTAAAGTGTGGAGTGTGGAGTGTAAAGTCTGCAGTGAGGAGTGTAAAGTGTAAAGTGTAAAGTATGGAGTGTCGAGGGAAGAGTGTAGAGTGTAAAGTATAGTGTGCAAAGTGTAGAGTGTGGAGTGTGGAGTGGAAAGTGTAGTGTAGAGCGTAGAGTGTGAAGTCTAGAGTGTAAAGTGTAGAGTGTGGAGTGTAAAGTGTGGAGCGTGGAGTGTAAAGTGTGCAGTGAGGAGTGTGAAGTGTAAAGTGTAAAGTGTAAAGTATGGCGTGTAGAGTAAAAAGTGTCGAGTGTAAAGTGAAGTGTGGAGTGTGGCGTGTAAAGTGTAGAATGTAAAGTGTAGTGTGTAAAGTGTAGAGTGTGGAGTGTGGAGTCTGGAGTGTAAAGTGTAAAGTGTAATGTGTAGAGTGTAAAGTGTAGAGTATGGAGTGTAGAGTGAAGAGTGTCGAGTGTAAAGTGTAGTGCGTAAAGTGTAGAGTGTGGAGTGTGGAGTGTAAAGTGTGGAGTGTGGAGTGTAAAGTGTGGAGTGTGGAGTGTGGCGTGTAAAGTGTGCAGTGAGGAGTGAGGAGTATAAAGTGCAACGTGTAAAGTATGGAGTGTCGAGTGAAGAGTGTGGAGTATAACGTGTAGTGTGTAAAGTGTAGAGTGTGGAGTGTGGAGTGTAAAGTGTGGAGTGTGGAGTGTAAAGTGTAAAGTGCAAAGTGTGGAGTGCAGAGCGTAGAGTGTAAAGTGTAGAGTTGAAAGTGTAGAGTGTGGAGTGTAAAGTGTGGAGTGTGGAGTGTAAAGTGTGCAGTTAGGAGTGTAAAGTGTAAAGTGTAAAGTATGGAGTGTAGAGTGAAGAGTGTCGAGTGTAAAGTGTAGTGTGTCAAGTGTAGAGTGTGGAGTGTGGAGCGTAAAGTGTAGAGTGTAAAGTGTAGAGTGTAAAGTGTAGAGTGTAAAATGTGGAGTGTAAAGTGTAGACTGCGGAGTGTGGAGCGTGGAGTGTAACGTGTAAAGTGTAGAGTGCTGTGTGTATGTTTGTCTGTGTCTGTGTCTGTCTGTGTCTGTGTCTGTCTCTGTATGGGGGGGAGATGACAATTAACCAGCGGCGGAGGATCATTACAGTAGGGGGTGGAGAGTGTAAAGTGTAAACTGTTGTGGGGGGAGTGTACAGTGTAAAGTGTAAAGTGTGGAGCGTAGAGTGTAGAGTGTGAAGTGTAGAGTGTAAAGTGCAGAGTGTAAAGTGTACAGTGCAGAGTGTAAAGTGTAGAGTCTGGAGTGTCAAGTGTAAAGTGTAGAGTGTGGAGTGTGGAGTGGAAAGTGTAGAGTGTGGAGTGTGGAGTATGGAGTGTGGAGTGTGGAGCCTGGAGTGTAAAGTGTGGAGTGACATACAATGTCTCACCCACCATTTTTCACACACAACTTTGTCACACACCATCTTTCACACACTACTTTGTGACACACCATCTTTCACATACCACTTTGTGACACACTGTCTTTCACCCACCATCTTTCATACACAACTTTGTCACAGACCATCTTTCACACACAGCTTTGTCACACACCATCTTTCGCACACAACTTTGTTCCACGCCACTTTGTCACACATCATCTTTGACACAAAGTGTGGAGTGAGGTGTGTACAGTGTAAAGTGTAAGGTGTGGACTGTAGAGTATAGAGTGTCAAGTGTAGAGTTTAAAGTGTAGAGTGTGGAGTGTAAAGTGTGGAGTGTGGAGTGAGGTGTGTACAGTGTAAAGTGTAAAGTGTGCAGTGTAGAGTGTAGAGTGTAAAGTGTAGACTGTAAAGTGTAAAGTATGGAGTGTAGAGTGAAGAGTGTCGAGTGTAAAGTGTAAAGTGTAGAGTGTGGAGTGTGGAGTGTGGAGCGTAGAGTGTAAAGTGTGGAGTCTGGAGTGTAAAGTGTGCAGTGAGGAATGAGGAGTGTAAAGTGTAAAGTGTAAAGTATGGAGTGTAGAGTGAAGAGTGTAGAGTGTAAAGTGTAGCGTGTAAAGCGTAGAGTGTGGAGTGTGGAGTGCAAAGTGTGGAGTGTGGAGTGTCCAGTGAAAAGTGCAAAGTGTGGAGTGTAGTGTGTAAAGTGTAGAGTTGTCAAGTGTAGAGTGCGGAGTGTAAAGTATGGAGTGTGGAGTGTAAAGTGTGCAGTGAGGAGTGAGGAGTGTAAAGTTTAAAGTGTAAAGTATGGAGTGTAGAGTGAAGATTGTCGAGTGTAAAGTGTAGTGCGTAAAGTGTAGAGTGTGGAGTGCAAAGTGTAGAGTGTAAAGTGTATTGTGTAAAGTGTAGGGTGTGGAGTGTGGAGTGTAAAGTGTAAAGTGTAGAGTGTAAAGTGTAGAGTGTGGAGTGTGGAGTGAGAGGTGTACAGTGTAAAGTGTAAGGTGTGGAGTGTAGAGTGTAGAGTGTCAAGTGTAG